AGGTGTGGCGGGGAGGGTAGTTAGAGAGCAACCAAAGGACTTATATGCGTGCATATTAGCATAACCAATGGACACAGACACTGAGGCAGTGGGGGCTTGTCCAGGGTGGGAATGGCTGGGGGAGGGGGGATCAATTGGGGAAGAAGGAGACATATGTAAAACTTTAGACAAAAAAAAGAAAGAAAGAAGACTGTGGGCTTTGAAAATTGACCTTTATGCCGAGGGCAAACACTTCAGGGACTGTGTACTTGTCCACACGTAACAGGTGATTGCAACACAGCCTGGAAAGACTAAAGGGCATGAGGACGAGGACACCGCCAAGTCTGTTACGTTAATCTAGGTGGGGAGTAATAGTGAAAGGGATCGCAAATAAATACTCATTATTTAGGAAGGTGTATTTGCTGCTTACTGTGTAGCAAGCACCACTGGAGGACCTGGGGTCAACAATGAACAACCCACAGAGCTCACATTTTAGTGGGGGAGAAGGCGGAATAAACAGAGTCAGAATACATACTCATCGGTGATGAGTACTAAGGGGGGAAAGATAATACTATAGAGATGGGGAGGGGGGCAATTTTATATTGTGTTGAAAAGGGAGATTTCTCTAAATATGGAGGCATTTTAGCAGAGACCAGGATGAAGACATCACTCAAGATTGTGGGATTTGGGTAAAGGAAAGAGGTGGGGGGCCTGGGGAAGTGGAGTAGAAAAAAGATGCGACTTGGGGACCTCAGACTCATGCCCTTGGATGAGGGATGGTTCTATCCTATATAATAAAAGGCTAATATGCAAATTGACCGAACAACAGAATAACCGGTCGCTATGATGCACACTGACCACTAGGAGGCAGACACTCAACGCAGGAGCTGCCCCCTGGTGGTCAGTGTGCTCCCGCAGAGAGAGTGCCGCTCAGCCAGATGCCCTGAGCCGGTCTCAGGGCTGGCGAGTGCATCGGCAGTGGCGGGAGCCTCTCCTGCCTCTGCAGCAGCACTAAGGATGTCCAATGTCCAACTGACAACTTTGGACATCCTCTTAGGGTTTCCAGATTGCAAGAGGGCAAAGGCAGGGCTGAGGGACCTGCCCCCAAGTGCACGAATTTCGTGCAGTGGGCCTCTAGTTTATTTAATGGAACCATTGGGGGCAATGCGTTCGATCTCGGACATATTGAATTCGAGGTTCTGTGTGGTTCTCCAGGCAGATGTCTGTAGGCTTTAGAGAAACAGGTCTGAAGCCAGGGAGACGTGTCACTGCTGAACTATGGGGCTCATCATACAGTTTGGGGGGAAAGTGCAAAATTTCAATGATCTGAGAAAGCCTGGAGACTCTGCGAAATGAAAAGGATGGAGATCCGAGCGTGACACATACACCTTTGAGACCAAAAGGACAAGAGGATAAAGGGAGCTTGATAAGGACGCATCTGGGGAAACGGTGGCAAGTCCGGCTTGTGTTGTTCAGCAGCCCAGTGAAAAGCTGACTCTTAGGAAGCCACGCGTGGGAAGGGAGAGGAGAAGCTGGGTGCTCCATGTTAGTATCAGGCAGCTGGGTGTGGTGAGGGGCAAGCTGAAAGGCCGGCTGGGGCTCTGATCGGAGAGAGGCCATGGAATTAGAAGCCTTGGGTTCCAATGGTGAGGGGCCCTGTCCCCCGGGGAAGTGGGATGTGGAGCAGCAGGTGGGCTATGCAATAGGGTCTGACGAAGGACCCCGACAACCCCCCAGCTGCCATATTTTACGTATTTTCACTCACCGTGTCCTTGGGTGAACCACTCGAAATACTGTTCCAGGGACTCTGGTCTCTTCACGAACTTGGAAATAATCCAGAAAAAGTAACCAGACACGAGAATATCTCTGGGATTTCGGATGAGATAAATCACCTGGAAGAGAAAAGTGGGACGATGGAAGTTTCCCATCCTTCCTCATCTTCACCAAAACAGAGAACAAAAAGCCAGTTCCTAGAAAATGTCTATTAAATGTCAATGGGTTCTTTATTTTATTTTTTTGCTAATCCTCACCCGAAGTTATTTTTCCATTGATTTTTAGAGAGAGTGGGAGGGAAGGGGAGAGACAGAAAGAGAGAAATGCTCATGTGTGAGAGTCACATCGATTGGTTGCCTCCCACACATGCCCCGACCATGGACAGGGATCAAGCCTGCAATGGAGGTACATGCCCTGGACTGGAATTGAATCTGCGACCCTTCAGTGATTGGCTCTAACCACTGAGCAAACTAGCTAAGGAGCAATGGGTTCTTCTTAAAAAATATATTTTTATTGTTTCCAGATAGGAAGGGAGAGGGAGAAATAGAAATCTTAATGATGAAAGAGAATCGTTGATCAGCTGCCTCCTGCACGCCCCGTACTGGGGATTGAGCCTGCAACCTGGGCACGTGCCCTGCCCAGGAATCAAACTGTGACCTCCTGGTTCAAAGGTCGACTGACACTCAACCACTGAGCCACACTGGCTAAGGCTCAATGGATTCTTTTAATAAGTTAGTTATTGCATTCGTTAGTCAAATACATATTTTAAAGTTCCTGGGGTAATATCAAGAATATAACAATGGAAAAAGACAGCATCGTCCCTTCCTTCTGGGACATTATGTCTATGCACGTTGGGAAGCAACCAGAGGCTTTGGAAGGTGAGTGGTGTTATATTTACTTTCTATAGTTTAAAGATTACGAACAGGAGGAAGGACTAAGAAATCGTGCTACATTCACCGATACTCAGCAGACATGTGTATGGTCTAAGTGTATGTAAGTGACGTTGGAGGATGAGCAAACGAATCTATAGAGTTAGAGTCAGCAGGTGGTCGCTGCTGTGGGTGAGCATTGACTGGGAAGCACGTGAGGGAATTTGGGGGGGGGGGAGTAAAAATATGCCACATCTGGATCTGAGAGGCAGTTACGCAGTTGTGTGCATAGGCAAGGATTCCACAGGCTGATACTCCAGGTTGGTACACAGGCAGGCACACAGGTGCAAGAATCCGGATTCAGCACCAACTTTCTTTGTGACGTGATTCCCGGCTCCAGCTCTCTCTAGGCCTCAGCTTCCCCACACGGGGATTTAACAAACACTGAGAAATCATGATGTGAATATGCTTAACACTATTTATAATCGGTGTGTCATAAACAAGCTTGAGAAGTGACAGGTTAAAAAAAAAACACACTTCATTTTCTTTCTCCAATTGCCTATTGAAGAACACTTGGGTTGCTCCATGTCTTGGCTATCCTATTTAATAAAAAGCTAATATGCAAATCAAACGAGGGGGGAACAACCGGTTGCTATGATGCGCACTGACCACCAGGTGGCAGACACTCAACACAGGAGCTGCCCCCTGGTGATCAGTGTGCTCCCACAGGGGGAGTGCCTCTCAGCCAGAAGCCAGGTTCATGGTTGGCGAGTGCAGCGGCGGTGGCAGGAGCCTCTCCTGCCTCCGCGGCAGCGCTAAGGATGTCCTAAGCTGGTAGTCAGACATCCCCTGAGAGCTTCCGGACTGCGAGAGGGTGCAGGCTGGGCTGAAGGACCCTGCCTCTGAGTGCACGATTTCATGCACTGGGTCTCTAGTTGTAAATAATGCTGCAATGAACACAGGGATACATATGCCTTTTCAAATTAGTGTTTTAGAATTCTTTGAGGATGTAAAGTACAGCAAAGGGAATATAGTCAGTGATATTGTGGTAATATGTCTGGTGCCAGGTGGGTACTAGACTTAGTGGGAACCACTGCATAAGTTATACAAATGTCTAACCACTATGCTGTGCACCTGAAACTATTGACTAGCTACTGTAATTGAAAAATAAAATTTTTTTTAAAAGCTTCATGGTGCTGTCACACATTGTGAACTCTCTGAGAGAAGAGAACATTATTCTGAGCTTCGCCATCGAATTTAAGCATAAAACATATTTTTAAGTCACAAACCAATGAGCACCTTCCAGGAAGGGGTGTTTCTAAAAGTCATCTGAGCTATGCCAGGTCCTGGATTTCCACATCCCTTCTGGGGATCATCGGTTAGCCCATGAGAGATTGGTGTGGCTGCTACGCCCAATAGACAGTTAGACATAGGAAGACACAGCGGTTAGTAAAACCATCATGATGCCCAATAGACAAATGGACATAGGAAGACACAGCAGTTAGTAAAGCAATCATGATGCCCGAGCATTCAACCCGGACTTAGCCTTGAATTATGAATTTCCTGCCTCTCTAACAGCTGAACTCAGTGTCTGCTACTTCTACCTGAGTGGCAGGAGGCAGTTTTTAATTAAGATCGGCTAATTATTTTTTAGAGCAACAAAAGGGGAGTCGTCTAGTATGGAACACTAGTTATAAATTCTGCTTGGGTTTAAAACGTGGTTTTCTGCGATCCTGGCATCACCATTTTGCTTTGCCTCTGGTTTTCCTCCGGCGCAAGTACGGACCCCAACCCAGACCTACTGGGTGGCATGGCCGCTCCTCCAGGTCTCCCGGTGATTCCCAGGCACGCTGGAGTTGGAAAAGCAGGAATCAAACAGCTCGACCATTGTGCACTGACCTTGGTCTTGGACTTGAAGATAGACTTGGGGAAGAGGTGGATGGGGACATGGGAGGTGATGAGGCGTGGGCCTTCCTTATCCTTTAGGATTTGATACCCATGTGTGTTCTCAACCCAGGGAGAGCGTTCCCAGATAGGCACAGATTGGACCCATGTGGGGTCTCCCTTGGAGTATATCAGGCAGAGGATTTCAAGCAACCAGTTCGTTCCTGGGTAAAGAAGGAAAAAGGATGGTCACTCATTCTTACGATCTGACTTTTAAAAACAGTGTGATAAACTGCACCCTCTTAATCACTTTCGGTTTTAAAATTCTTATTTATTGATTGAATTTAGAGAGAAGAAGAAAAAGAAGAAAGAGGAGGAGAAGAAGAAGAAGAGGAAGAGGGGACTCTCATAGCCAGTTAGCCTGGAGGTCAAATCACCCCCGACAACAATCAAGGCTTACCTACAACAAGACTGCACACAAAGACCACTAGGGGGTGCACCAAGAAAAAATAAAAAAAATGCGGACACAAAGAAACAGGATGCAAATGTCAGAAATGGAAGATATAGAGCTCAAAACCACACTTTTAAGGTCTCTCAAGAACTGTCTAGAAGCCGCCGATAAATGTAGTGAGATCCTCAAGAAATCTAATGAGACCCTCGATGTTGTGATAAAGAACCAACTAGACAGTCGAAACCGGTTTGGCTCAGTGGATAGAGCGTCTGCCTGTGGACTGAAAGGTCCCAGGTTTGATTCCGGTCAAGGGCATGTACCTGGGTTGCGGGCACATCCCCAGTGGGA